AGTCAAGGCACTGAAGACCATCGGGCCCATGGAAGAGCTTATCAGAGAAGCCCCTCACGAGGATCAATATTTTCTGCATCAGTCAGCAGATTATGCACAAAGGGGTTTCATTAATAGAGCGCTCTAGAATTATACTATCGTTGTGCTATAAGCAAATAATGTCTCCATATTGTAGAGTATTCTGAATTGAAGAGAATGTTCGAGACATGTTGAAATATGCTATGTTAGGTTAGACTTTCTCAACCCGAAAAGAAAATGAAAATAATGTTGAAGGGCAAGAGACTGGCTGGCTTTTCCAGAGCCTGTGCGTTCGGAGCAGGCAATCCGTCTTTGTGATCTGATGAGATTTCGACCCCGATCTGTGACCTGCCTATTCCAAAGATAATCGTGCTGTTGGCGGGAAAGAGACCGAACTGAGATTCTTACTGCATCGCACCGCGATGTGGCGAGCTCACATCGCACAGACCCTCTTCCTTTACTATAGTCATCCGCCTGCAAGGGAAGAATCCGTCGCTTGTAATAGGTGGCCAAACCGCTTATTATAATTTTCCTCTTTGGTTCTGGAGGCTCAGAAACAGCTAGTTATAGGTAGTCTACGTACTTTTAGTAACAATGAGACGATAAAATCAAGCGATAAGCAGGGCGGTATCGCGCTGTCCCGAGACCACGGTTGGCCGAAATTGGATGTCACGTGGCTACCCTACTGTTAGGCAGTTCGCTAATTGTAGGTTCTCGTATGGCCCCATAGCTAGTTTGGTATTTCGGGTTGCGGTATGCCAGTTTACAGAACCTTAACTTCGTTGTGACGTGGTGTGACGTGGTGTGACCAGAAATTGGTGGGTTGTCATCGTGACGAGCGAGATATGTTTGGTTTTCTTCGAGTTGATCCGTGATAATACTGCGCTAAACTGGCGTTGCGAGTTATATTTGGTTCAAGTTGAAGTACGGCCAACTCCTACATGCATTTAGTAGCTGTGGAGTAGCTCAGACGAATGGAGCTCGCAAAGGTTGACGAACTTAATTTCTGGTGACTCCTGATACTTGGGTGTGTCATCCTGCCCTAAACCCGAAAAGGAGCCCGAGCCCTTTAACCAATTAGACCTCAGTAGTGACAGGCATAATTTGCCAAGTCCCCATTCTTGGCAAGCATGTGAACAGTCGCCATCTTCCTATTGGATAATCGCTGGGTTGATTTCAACCTTGAGTTCACGGTCTCTCCAAGGTTTATAAACTCGATTCCTCATTGAACAATTGTACAGTAAGCTCCTTACCTCCTCCAGAACGCTGATTCCCGCCGGTTCATTTCAATACAATCTAACATGCTTCTCCCGACCCGGTCGCGACTTAGCTCGTCCCTTCAAGCACTGAATCGAAAATATCGCAGCCATGGAGGAGCTGCCAGCCCTGCACGCGCGGAAGAGCCCCTACTTGGTCGCTTGAGTGAGGTTGTTCGACATACCTGGTATCTAGGATTTACGTCCTTCGGGGGACCGCCGGTTCATTTCCAGATCTTGCATGCGCGATTCGTCGAAAGGGAGAAATGGGTTGATGAGCAGACGGTAAGGATTTATTATCTGAAGACCAGTATAGTCAGGAACTAATGGGTATAGTACCAAGAACTCTTCGCCATATGTCAGGGTCTTCCTGGACCGGGGTCTACAAAGATGTTATTCTGCTTGGTGTTGCTTCATGCTGGGTTCATCCCGGCCTTGCTTGCATTTGTCCTTTGGTGGTATGTATACTGTTTTAAATGCGACTCTTGCAATTCTTTATTATATGCTTATCAAGTCGCTAGTCTCCCCGGCGCAATCGGCATGTATGCCCTCTCTCTCGGCGTGCAACAGATTGACGAAACACTTCCCGCACCAGTCTACGCTCTTCTTTCCGGCTTGAATGCCTCAACCGTAGGCATTATCGCCCTTGCTGCTGTCCAGCTAGCCGAAAAGGCAATCCGCGATAAGATTTCCCGGATCTTGGTAATCTTCGGCGCATGTGCTGGCCTCTGCTATAGCGCGCTTTGGTATTTCCCTATTCTCATGGTTGCTGGCGGTGTTGCTACTGCGCTGTGGGATGGGTGGGTGTATCAACAAATTCTGAGGGTGAAGATTGCGTGGAAGAATAGGAACCGACAGACCGAGCCGGAGGGCGATGCCCCTGGATCTGCAGGTTGTGAGCGTTCGTCTGAGAGAAATTCAGGACAGGGGGCCGGGACGGAGATGCTACGGATGAGGAAGTCCGGTACAGAGGCTTTCCCGCCAAACTTGAATGATACCCAGGCAGAAGAAAGGGATGCGCATCCCGCACAGGACCATGTAATCCGTATCCGTGTTGGGGCTGCAATTTTCATTTTCTTCTTTAGTAAGTTCCGTCTGAAAGTTTGCAATGACACTGTACATGGGCTGATCCAGAAACCACAGCTTCCTTTATCGCTATCCTTGTTTCAAGAGCCAAAATTTCGGCACCCCCTCTAGCCCTCGACCTCTTCGCAAACATGTACTTAGCCGGTACTGTGATCTTCGGCGGCGGCCCTGTTGTTATCCCCTTGCTCCGGTCATACGTTGTGGACCCAGGCTGGGTTTCCAGTCGAGACTTCCTAATCGGCCTTGCGATAATCCAGGCCTTCCCCGGCCCAAACTTCAACTTTGCCGTCTTTCTCGGTGCACTCGCCCTCCGAACCACATCCTACCCGACAATCTTCGGTGCATTCCTCGGTGGGTTAGGGATTTTCTTCCCTGGAATCACCCTCGCCGTCGCGATCCAGTCCTTCTGGCGTATTCTGCGGAAACAGAAGTATATAGTTGATTTTCTCCGCGGTGTGAATGCATCAGCTGTAGGATTAGTCTTTACTGCTGTGTACCGGCTTTGGGAAATTGGATATTTGACTCCGCAGGATCGTGATGGTCAGAGTCTGGCGAAAGAGCCCTGGTGGGTTGTTGTTGCTGCTGTTACTTACGCTGAGAGTGCGTGGTTCAAGGTTCCACCTGCGGCTGCAATTTTGCTAGGTGCTGTGCTTGGGTTGTGTTGGTATGGAGTTGTTAGTCCTGCCTGGTGATGGAGTCTAGATATTGTGGATATGCTGGAAGACTGGCTGAGAGCTGCGCAAATTTGAGACTTCAAGTCTCTCATATGCTACAATATGTAATGTATCTTGTCCAGTCTCTCCATCCGTTTTGTACCTCCCCCCTCCTCTGAGAGCGGTCTTTGGGATAATTCGGCGAAGTAAACCTCTAAGCAAATTTAATTGGTGTAGGCTAATGGTTCTTACCTCGCCACAGGTTTGCCAACAACGCTGAAAAGATAGGTCACAGGCAAGCAATCTGCTGCGGAACTAAATCTCCTTTTGAATTAACAGTAAGGGAGACTCAAACAGCGAAAAGAATTCCGCTGCAGCCACCTCATTCGCAATTGATCTCAAGATTTCCCGTTCAAGCGCAGCAGCGGAATTGACCCACGGCTTAGCGCCGCAGCGGTCATTCTGCGGTGCTCGGGCAATGGTGGGCTCCTAGCGTCGGATTTGTAGCCTCGATGGTTCACAGGCCCCTCCGGAACCAGTTAGCAGCCAGTCGGCCGAGCTGGCCCTCAGGCCACGGCTTGTGAGCCAGTGGGGGACAGCGGGCCAAGCGGGACAACTGGTTGCAGCCTCCCATGATCTGTCTTGGCCCGCGATACTGGGAGGCTGGTCTCCGGATTTTAGGCCCACCTGGAGCCAGGTCCAACGCTATCAACCTCTCACAGCTTCCCATCCACCCATGCCACAGATCCCACGCTTGCGGGCATCAATATGGCGAAGAGTTCTTGGTACTACAGCGATTAGTCCCACAATATGCCATTTAGATAAATAGTACCTACCGTCTGCTCATCAACCCGCTTTTCTTTCTCGATAAACCGCGCGTGAAAGATCTGGAAATGAACAGATACCCGGTATGCCGAACGACCTCGCTCAGGCGACTGGATAGCGGCTCTTCTATGCGTGCAGGGTTGGTTGCTTCTGCATGACTGCGCCAAGTTCGATTTAGTGCTCGTAGGGACGAGAGGAGTCGCGACCGATTAAGGAGAAGCATTTTGGATTTGTCTACGGATAAACTAGCGAGAGTCTCAACATAAAGGGAGTGAAGAATTATTCGGGATGAGCCAAGATTAAAAGTATTGGAAGATGGCAACGTTCGAGTCAACTCTAATGTTTATCCAATAAGAAGTTGATCACCGTCTGCGCAGCGTTTGGCCGTCTCGTGGGAGATCCATGTTCAACGTCACAGAAAGCAATGACAGCATTGATTTCGGCACGAGTTGAATCCTTTGCGGGCAATACTTTTCTCGGCCTAGGTCAAGCAATAAAACTAGTGAGCGAAACGATCATCATACAGAATGCTAAATCGAGTTTCCCGAGATTGTACTAAATATGCTAAGCGCATACTTGGCATATGGCTTGGCATAGAAAACGACCGCTCTGAGGGGTGACACTGGTTTCGACTTCCCCTATATCAATAGCCACTTAAAAAGCGAATTATGATCACGCAATATACTGCGGAAATTATTTCATTCAGTTGTTATGTTCACCGCGAACAGCGGCTATTATAAAGGGTCAGGACGAGGATTTGTAGTAGATCACTGGTTATTATTCCTAACTTCTCTAGCTATGACTTCGGAAATCCATCTTGTCCGCCATGCGGAATCTATCCACAATGTCACCAAAGACTTCTCTCAACTTGACCCCGGCCTGACACCCCTTGGTTTTGAGCAAGCCACACAGCTCACCCGAACGTTCCCTCATGCTTCACAGGTGGGCATAATCCTCACCTCTCCACTACGGCGCACCATCCAAACCACGCTCGCTGCTTTCCCACACGTTCTCGATAAACGCTACTTCGACCAAGACTCTGGCCATGGTATTATAAATGGTGCGACCCCCATCTTGGACCCAGATTTGCAGGAACGGAGTGCGCTTCCCTGCGACACTGGATCCGCATCCCAGGACCTGGAGATGGCTTTTCCGAGACTAGACGTGAAAGATTTAGCCGAAGGTTGGCAAGTGAAGGAGGGTCGTTATTCCCCAGAAGATGAGGCAGTGAAGGAGCGGGCGAAGAGAGTGAGATCTCACGTCGCGAAACTCTCTGATCAGTTAAAGTATGAACAAAGGAAACACATCGTGATTGTGACGCATGGTGTTTTCATGAAATATTTGTCTGAAAATGCAGAGATTGATCTACAAAAGGCGGGCTGGAAGAGCTACACACTTGAAAAACATGGCTCTGGTATTTCTATGTGTGAGAAATAGAAATGGGCTGAAAAATCTTAATAGAGTAATTGCTCCCTCCTAGCAGCAATCCGTTTTGCTGTTACTCGCTTGACTGCTTCATCACTTCTAATCAGAGCCTTATTTTACTCCTATGCGGGAATGTTTTCCCCCCTGTAGAAAGCCGGTCGACAGTGTTGCCAGGAGGCGGGGTTTCATCTGATTTCCCCTCTTTCCAAGTGGCCAATAAAGTGAGGGAATATACACCGCGGGCGCCGTTATCAAATCGATGGCTCATGTCCGGAAATCAAATCTTCCAATGCATAAGAGACAAGTCCCTTATAGCCTCGAAATTCGCTAGAACGAAGGCTCCTGTTTGGCAGGAGCTTAAACTCCACACGTCACGCAGACCATGGATTGGAAAAGCTTCTCATTTCTATGTTAATCGCAACTTAAAAGAACAAACTATAGCCGGCGGCTACAGTAGCTCAATCTGACAAATACACTGAATTAATTAGTTATTTGCTACATACCTCGTTTCTGTTCTCCATTCTTCCTGTTTGATTGAAGCAGATCGTCCAGATATTCACGGATCTGGTTGGATGTGGTACATTAGCGCCTTCAGCGAGGCGCAGGATTCATATTATGTATCTCGATTGCCCGACAGGCCTTCAGCCTCAGAAGGCCAACAATCAAGTCTGGGTGATAAGATCAATGAGGCAAGTGCGTCCCAGGAACAAGTCGATCCAAGGGGCAAGGACATAATAAGTCAGGATCATGATGTAGGATCTCCTGCGCCGCAAGCCACACGACCGATCTGGCCTAAAGCCCGGAAAGGAGATCTATCCGGGGTTCTAAGCCCAAATCAGACATAGGCTTGTGGTCTGAACACCTACAAGGCCAGAGGGGGCAGAGCAAAGGCCTAAGGTGGTAGGTCCAGACGCTGATGACTTGGGTAGTAAGATCTGGTGCGTAGGCCGATTGACATAACGCCAGAAACACCAAACCTTGCGCCCCCGACCAGGCTGGTCGTCAGACCGCGGTCCTACGACCACCACAGACGGAGAACCACCAACTGGCGTCTACGGCAGGTGCAAGACCCAGGCGGTCGTCTGAATACATTGTTGCGGCCTGTCTGGTCTGCCGACCACCCAAATGTTACTGAGTCCTCCACTTCGCGTGCGATCGACCTCATTGTGTCTTCGTCCATCGCAAGCTCTCCCGCGAAATTCATAAAAATTCATCGTGTCATCGCGACCTGTCGACGACGGAGTTTCCTGTCACGCCTTCATATTTGAAATACATTCGACCAACTGACAACCCGTATATGGCCCAGGTGGGGATCTGAGCTAGGCAGCAAGATTTTGGCAGAACCGGCGTTTCAGGCCACGAGGAAAGTGGGTTTGGGCAAGGGTGGCAAGATATCTGTTTGCCACGGCGATCTACGCAAGTGAGCTTTATTTTAAAATCGATGCTAGTATAGATAATTAGTTTCTACAGTGTAGTATAGAGCTTCGTGTACGGAGTCTATTCCGTACGAAATCAAATTGGATTTCCAAGTACAGTAATATGTTCTCTCTAAAAATTCCCCGAGTTCGTTGGAAGAAAGAATTTGGAAGAGAAGGCGAAGTCTCTCGGAAAGTGGGCGATAGCTTTGACCCTGACAGGGGTGGGACCAATTAGTCACCCGTTGTGAGGCATGGTGATTAAGTTAGCTAAACTTAGCGCCAGGCGACTATGTGAGTGTTCTTGCAGTTCATTCTTGTGGTTCCAGTGTGTTCAACGCAACAGATTTCAGAAAAGCTCAGCGTTTGAGAGAAAAGGAAAAGGGCAAAAAAAGGGTGTTTTTCTTTAAGCCTTAGAAAGCTATTCAAGCAAAAAGCGGGGTTGGTAAAGAACTACTCCTGTCATCAAATGTGTTCAACATCTGTTGGAAGCAATGGGTTCATCAAATCACAGGCAGAGCTGGGAAGATCTTGACGCTCCTCAAAAAAGCGCAAGTCTCGAAATAAAATATTGGTTGAACACTTGAACCGCAAGAACGGCCCACATGGTGGCTTCACCAGTGACTGACTCATTGGTCCACTCCTTCAGACAGACAGAAAACAGCGGCCCAGCTTTCTCCCACCTCAAGGTGGGAGTATATACTCCGCACACAAATAATATAAGGGGCCCGCCGCCTCTAGAGAATCTTCTTCTAGAAAAGAGTGAGAATTTTGAGGAGAAAAAGCGCTTGGCTGAAGGCGCTCCCGTAAAGCAAGGAAGCGGCTCAGATTAAGATGACTCATCTGATCGCGCGATGATCGCGCGATCATTTACTCTGATAGTTTCGCGTATATTTAGCTCCCCTATTCTGGGGCCATGTTTTCTTGTAACCCATGGCTATCGCATACGCGCCGTTGGTGCATGGGCAACTCCACTCTGCGTGCGCTTGATCACCATACCCATCGCCAAGGTTTCGGCGAGAAACGTGGTCATCGCGTACGCCGGGTCTGTGCGTACACACTTTTAGTCTTCACGCCAGCAGCAACCCTACTCGGATCTAGAGGACCGTGGCTCTGCATATGCCCGACATGCGCACATGCTTTCCTTCTCCCGACGCGCCCATCTTCCCTACGCATATCTCGAGACCGTGGCTCTGCACACGCACAGAATACGCACATGCCTTGCTTCTCTCTATGCATCCATCTTCCATGCGCATAATTCAGGAAACTATGGCTGTGCGTATGCCCTATTGGCGCATATTCTTTCCTTTTTCCTACGCGCCTGTCTTCCCTACTCATAATCCAGGGAACCATAGCTTTGCGTATGCCTGATGCACGCATGTGCTCTTCCTCTCGGTGCCCATACTCCACAGTTTCAGTGGGATTATCGCTATGGCATATGCCCTATTAGTGCCTACTGTACGCTGCTGCACTAATCTTACAAATAATGGTGATCACCACGTATGCCCTTCATGGATCGTTAAGAAGCTATTTTTAACGTTACGGATGCGATAATATTGATATAATCTACTAGTATCCAGAAGAAGTATTATGCCTATTCGGTGTTAACACGGATTTTAGACATGCAGCACAAATGGCATAGTAGCAGGTAGGGTAGAGGGGTGCTTCTGGATGGTGCCTGGAGATAAAAGTTGAGTACTAGTTCTCGCAACGCCGACTAAGCGCTGCACGTGTCTGGTGGCTTGCTTCCCGCAGGAACTGAAGCATTTCTGCCTAAGGCATCAAGAGACCGTGTGTGGTACATTAGTAATCAAACATAAACAAATGCGCAGGTGCCGCGTCACTACTCCCTGATCATGAGTTGCGTCGCGCAAGTGTCCCAACAGGGGGTTCATATCCGCTGGATTCCTGACATCAAATTAACCACTAGCTATGCAGGACGATATTGCCGAGTTACGACGTCAACTGGAGGAAGCGAGACACGCACGGGAAGAGGAGAGACACGCACGAGAAGAGGCAGAAAAGCGGCGGGAAGAGGAGAGACACGCACGGGAAGAGGCAGAACGGAGGCAGGAAGAGGCAGAACGAAGGCAAGAAGAGGCAGAACAGCGTTTGCAACCTACTGCTCTGTTTCACCTCCTTGACCGCTGCCACGAATATCTGTCACAGGAGATCCGAGTTGAGACAGATGCAGCCTTGACAACCCAAGGCAACGTGACTGACCCAGTTAATCGACTTTACCCCAAAAAGATTATACCTTGGACTGATTTTCCTGATCTCCAAGAGCGAATCTGGGAGAGACTCGAGCGTGCAGTTGACTTTACCTCGCGTCCACTCTTTCCCTCCGACACCCAGTTAGACTACGTCGCAACGAATATCCGGGACCGGCCGATTTACTCAGAAGCAACTTTACGAAATTTCGAGCGAGACACCGTGGATAACTTTGTTGAAAAGATTATCGAGGCCTTACAAGATGATGAAACTTTGCGACGGGAGTTTGGTATAGAGGGTCGAGTCGCATTCTACGACCGCGCGAACTCAGCCTCGCTGAATGACAGCCTGGAGCAGATGCATCTTAATGATGAACATGACGCGCCTGATCAACCACCAAACACCAACCGCGGGAGAGGTAGAAGAAAAGGAAGGGGGGAACAGGTGGCCCAAAATCAGAAGATAGCACGTTCAGGATGGCGACGCAATCGCCGGGCCGATCAATTCTGTGTTCACCTCGTGGCTGACGAGCGCCAGATACCAGTTTATGCAGTGGAGTTCAAAGCGCCTCATAAATTAACCGTCGCTGAACTAGTTGCGGGCTTCCATGAGATGGACCTGGAGCGCGATGTTATCAATCAGGAAGGTGATACATTCGAGTTTTATGCTACTACTCTTGCTGCTGCTGTGTCTGCTCAGATATTTTCATACATGCATGGCCTGGGGAGACCACTCGGATGTATTCGGACGGGGGAGGCGATTGTCTTTCTACGTATTCCGACGGATCCTACCGTACTTCAGTACCACTTGTGCATCCCATACCAAGACGTGCAGGCAGGCGAGGAGAGCCGTCTTCACCGGACCGCTGTGGGTCAGATGCTTGCATTCACCCTCCAAGCACTGGCTGCCGAAGCTCCATCTCAAGAGTGGCATGATGCAGCATATAGAAACCTGTCAACTTGGGAAGTCGAATACTTGAATGTCTTGCGTGATATCCCCGAAACGATACGCAAGGAACCGCCGTCCTCGAATTACCGGCCTTCACACTGGAAACCGATTCTAAAGACACACAATACACGTTCCCGCGCTCGCTGTAATCCAGGTATATCTACCCCGCAGGGCTCTCCAAGTGAGGATAGCGACAGTGACAATGGGGTACCTTCGCCGTCTACCGCACCAGCCGCCCGCAGATCGAACCGCAGAAAAGGGAGTGAACGTCTATTAGCAAGCGGACAAGAGCAGTCACCGCGTGACCGGAGGAAAAAGGAGGCCCCTTCTCAAAAGGGCGTGCAGAGATCATACTGCACTATGGCTTGCCTCCGCGGTATGGCCAACCGAGGTCGCCTCGATACCAAGTGCCCCAATCGGCAACTCCACGGTGGTCAGTGGCATCCGATGGACGCGCGTGGGCTCACGCGCAACCTGCATCGTCAACTTGTCCAGAACCGGAACGAGGGTTTTGAACCACTACACATCCGTGGTCGGACTGGGTATCTGTTAAAAGCAACTCTATTGTCTCACGGGTATACCGTGATTATCAAAGCCACAACGGAGGAGAAGGAACATGCCCTTATAGCAGAAGCAGACAACTATCACCGCCTCCGTACCTTGCAAGGGCATCACATCCCGGTCTGTCTAGGCAGCTTCGTGCCGAACATCGAATATTGGTACCATGGTGAAATAATGACGCATATGATGATCCTGAGTTGGTCTGGAACTCGTCTTCAGCGAATAAACAACGAAAATTCAGCCTTCTTCCACGAAGAGCGCAATCGTTGCCTGTCCATCCTCCAGTCACACGGAGTCGACCACAAAGACAAAGAGTGGCGTAATATGCTATGGGACGAATCCACCCAGCGGTTGGTTATCATTGATTTGGAGGACGTGGAGTGGCTCAAGCAGCCTAAGCGGCCTCGGGCTCTCCAACCAACAACGGGCAATTTATGTCATCATGCCGCGAGGGCGCCGAGAAGTAAACGAAGGCGCCTTCGCAGTCTGCCTGCTGCCTGCAACTCGTGATGGCTCGCTTAGAGCAGCTGGCTCCTTATTAGAAAACGATTCCTCTCTCTTGGCAATCGGAACCAAGCACTAAATCTAATTTGTCTCATGCTATCCAAGAGCGCGCGGGCATGGGATTGCTGGCCAAGGATTGCGGTGAGGGTCACAGTTCAGCAGCGCCTGCTACCAGTCAATCAGGAGGCTTTTTGATTGACAAATCGTCCTCATTTACATTTGCGTCCCAGAGCTCAGCTGCCTAAGCCTCACGGGCCCTGGACGGGTTGCTTGGATAACTGGTCTTGATTCGAAGATTCACTTGAACGGTGGAGGCTAAGCTGGGTGTTAAGAGCTAGTCGTTCACCATGCGCAGTTCTAGTCCCACCTAGTTTGAAGTAGCGGGTGGCGTCTAAGGCGCCGATGCAACGCTATGGCTATCTTCGCCACGCCCTGATGAGAGCTCCTGACTACTATCAGCGCCAAGGATCGCGGAAAAGGTCAATATTTTGGACAGTTTGGTTTAGGATAAGCCCTTTCGGTGGGCCAGCCGCACTATGTCAAAGAGAGTACGGTCCAATGCGGACTTGACATACAAACACGATAATTTTCCTCAGCGATGAGCCCGCACAATAGCCTTTATCCGTGCTCGACTGTGCTCTAACCGTCTCGTCGGCCAACTGGATATGAACCGAGCCGGGTCTGCCTTGGACTAGGGAGGGTTGAAGCAAGGATAGCCAACCAAGCACTTTCCGTGAAAGGAATAGTCTACTCTGGTCAGTCAGACACCCTGCTGGCCACCTCCGACTGGCTCGCTTTCCACCATCCTAGGATGCTGGAACGCCCAGCTAGCATAGTAGAATGTCCAGAGCCACGGCTATAAGAATCCCTACCCCTCCCTTCTTTTGCTCAAGTCTCACCAACAGCAATAACCGATTCTTCATTCAAGCTCACTTTCCTCAACCATGTTGTCAAACAATGTTGATTCGTCCGATCCAATCCAAGAAATCAGGGATGAGCTCATCGCGCTCCTGGAGCGTTTTGTGCATCTTATTGCTTCCCACGCAGCCATTGATCTTCAAGAGACGCCCAAGGTACGCTGGTTCACTGAAAATCAGGAACATACTAAGTGCGACATAAGTTTCAAACAATACTTCACGAACTTTGCGAGGCACGCCCGGATGTCGCACGAGCCATTGTAGGAACCATTCAAGAGAGAAACAAGCCGGTCCCACCCGAACAGCAGGTCAACGCGAGCACTGCCCCCTTAAAACGAAAATGGAAGCTAGACCAAGATCCCCCTTATCGTCCATCAAAGTCTACCAGGATTAGCAGATCTTCCGCATACCTTGCGAAATCCAGTCCCACCGCTGACTGTCGCGGTCTGGAAACAGAAAGGCCGATCATGGAGGACGACGAAGCTCTTCCAACAGTCACCATGGCAAGCGAGGACATGCCACTGATGGAGACTCCAACATCACGCGGGCCCGAAAATACCCTACCAGATGCTGAACCAATGCCGCCCGCCGGAAAGACCCTAGATGCAGGACAGATTGAAAAAAAGTCCTTCCCTCAACCTAAGGTCTACCAAGAAAAAGTACTAGTGTCAGCTGAGAGCTCTAGTTCATCCTGTCAGCTCCCAACAGACTCCTCTATGGAGGCATCGCCTGTCCGGGACTTGATTGTTGAGGCTGCTCGGACCCTCTACCACAACTCAGCCAACACCAGGACGGCGTCCCAAAGGCTATACACAAACGAATTCTTCGGTCATTGCATAGCACCCAGCCGGAGGCACTAGCCGCATCTACGAGTAACACGTAGTCTGATGGTTCGATATGGGTACAAGTACTTGAGATGGGATCCTCTCGGCAACGTCACGTTACTATTCTTAATATGCTGGAGTACATGGGGGCCTGGGAATGGTATGATGGCCAAGTACAACTGGCCCAAAGGACGATCTCCACCAAGAAGGGCCAGCCCGTGGATCGTCGAGGAGCTGCAATCCATGTGCTGAATGAGATGCAGACCACTCGAAGGAGTGTGGAAGACCAGGGAAGGTGGATTAGCGGGGTTGGAACGGTTGCGTTGAACCAAAGTGAAGCAGGCCACGAGCTTCCGGGCAGTCCGGTCAGCCTTGCTGAGAGTGACCAGCGCCAGCGGAGGAAACTGATCAGCATGCAACTTAGCAGAGGCCAGAAGCTAAGCACGAAGCTGACTAAAAACCTAGGATTTGGGATACTGTTCAGCAAAAAAAGCTGGTAAGGCCGGCATTGTTTTGATATTTCTAAATCCGCTAATAAAAGCCAGGGAATATACTAAGATGAGCATGAGGCGTCTGGACGACCTTATTAATTCTATCCAAGCAGACCCCGGATCCCGGATGAAGATATCGTCGGACGAACAAAAGAAGAAGGGCACTAGTGGAGCAGTATGCCTTTCCGGGAGACACTGGATATACTCAACGATGCTAGCACACCAGCAAGATGGATGTGGATTCCAAGTCTCAGTCTGGTCGCAGCCCAGAAAAAGGTATTTATCATCCTAGACGCATTGGATGAATCAATTACAAGAGATGATGTTCTCCGCTGGATCAAGGACATTGTTTCCAGGTCAGAGTTACATGTCCAGCTGCTTTGTACCAGCCGACCTGAACCCGATTTTCTGAGCCATATTCCACAATTGATAGAAGAGCAAAATTGTTTGCCACTTGATAAGGAGGCTGTCGACTCTGATATTCAATCGTGGGTCACAACACAACTTGCTCAACGGCATGATTTTACAAAGAAGTCGTTGTCGCAGGATCTTATCAAGGAAATCCAGGGGAGGGTTGGTGATGGGGCCGACGGGATGTGAGTTACTACCTCTTCAATAATAGCATGGTTTGCTGACACTCTGCTTAGGTTCAGGTGGGCGTTCTGTCAATTGGACAGTCTTGCTCGATGTTCCCACGAAGCCGCTATGGAGGAGGCTCTTGCATCTTTGCCGCAGACATTAAATGAGACATACCAGCGCATGATTGCAAACATACCAGCAGAGTTACAGAATGATGCTATACGCCTCCTGCAATTCCTGGTGCACTCCAAGAGACCTGTCAAGCTAGCGGAAGCTAAAGAAGTAATTGCGACGCAGATTAAAACTAAGGCGCGAGGGTTCAGTGTCAAGCGTCGACTGTTCTATGAGACTGATGTTTTGAAATACTGTCCCGGCTTACTGACAGTTGTTCAGGCCACCAATAAAGAGCTACACCTCGCCCACTTTTCTGTCAAGGAGTATCTTGGTGAAATGAATGGTTTTAGCAATGCGACTGCCAGCGTTTCTATTACAAAGACGTGCTTGACTTATCTCACGGACATCAACGGTAGCCACAAAGAGCTCGAGGAGAATTTTCCAATGGCAAGATATGCGGCGGAAGCTTGGACAGGCCATGCTGCGTTAGCTCAGGCTTCTTCAGATATTGTTGCAGCGATAGTCAAGTTCTTGATGGAGGAAGCGACATTTCAACGATGGCTTCATTTGTTTCAGGCTGATGTGAGTTGGAAAAGCAACTCTGGCTCTCCACCAGGCTCCAGGCTCTACTATGCGTGCTTCGCAGGGCTCGCACAGCCAGCACGAACTATAATCCACAATGGGGCAGACGTCAACGCGAAGGGCGGCCGCTATGGCAATGCTCTCCAGGCTGCCTCGATAGAAGGCCATCAGGAGGTTGTGAGACTGCTCTTGGACAAGGGAGCAGATATCAACACGCAGGGCGGGGAATATGGCACTGCTCTACAGCGGGATTTTATTGGTCCGCTATCAGGTGATTTGCGCATGACTGGGTCTTTCAAAAATGGTAAATTGGGCAGTTCATCCTTCGGTATCCAGAAGACCTACCAAGAGTATCTTGGTGGTAGTATGCACACTTGGCGTCACCAACTCAGAGACCAGGACAGCATTTGATGTCTCCCGACCAGAGACCATCCAGCTCAGCATCAAGGCTGCTAGAATACTTCTCGAGTACCATGAGTAAGGCCCTGACGCCTCACAGAAGGTGGCTAGTCCGTACAGCTGATTGATGTCTAGTATCATCCAATCTGAGGTTGTTGAGTTTATTATTGGCAAAGATCAAAAGCGGTTCTTAATCCATGCGGCATTTAGCTGGTTCTTTTCCTGAAGGTTTACGACAAGCTCCTATAACCAGGGTGGTTGATGAGGTCACCTTTAGTCGTTGCTGTGATATCCTTCGAATATCACATGTATCTTAGGTAAAAAGTAGACATCTCGACTCTCGCGGCTTGCGCTTGAGAGGATTTTTTAGATGTCACTGCTGAATGCTGATTGGTCATATTTCCTCCGCTCCACACCGTGCTGACCTCTGGCAGTTACAACCATTGACTATTCAGTAGTTGCGCAAAGTACTTCCAATGAGTTAATTTAGCCAAGTTATCTCAGCGAAATCCTTCGCTTACTTTCCGACTTTCCTTCCGACTTTCCCGAGGATGTCACCGCAGGGATTTAATACGCTACCTGTAGACTCCGTTTGTCAAGTGCCAGAAATTCCTCTCGCTAATGACTGTGGATAAGGTTTCGAGGCGAAATACGGGGAGCGCCAAGGTTCATCTCGTTTTAGCTTGACGTTTGGGAGCAATGAAGTTATCATCGACGCTTTGTCTCTAATTCCATGGACCAACCATATTGTGTGTTCAGGACACACAGTTGCAGAGCCTTGACAGGGTTGTTTGGGGCAAAGGCCTATCACCGCTAATACAATGCGCCTGTGATAAATAACGCATCTCTGGGTGGTGGCGCTGCGAAGCTCCTTTTCCCTTGGGCTTCTGCTTGATAGAAAAAGTTCTATATCATTACATACCCGCTCGTTGCATTCCATGCTACCTACTGATGACCTGAACCAAGATTGTTCAGCCAAAATCTGCTCGCCGAATCTCATCCAAGTACATCCAGCAATGGCTAAAAAATACCACAGTTCGGATGAGATTAGTCTGGATATTGAAATATTCGAGTGCGACATATGCGGCGCTGGCCGTGATAAGTTCGGGTTGCTCCGGCCTGGTAACTCCATTGAGGGTCGAATACATATTTCATCGAAAACTATGCTCCAGTTCAAAGATTTAAGGGTCATGATTGAAGGTTAGTCAAGGGCAGGTCGCTTGAATTAACTAAGTGGAGCTGAAGGTATAGGCAGGCATACAGTCAACGCGAGAGTTTACTTCTCTTTTCAACAGCGTGAATATCAAGCCATATCCAGGGGTATATCGAGATCTGTTTCCTGTGGAGACTCGGCAGACGGTAAGTGCTAGGATAATGGGATTTGGAAAAAGTCACTGATTAACTTAGTTCCTGAGCGTTGAATACAACACTTGTCCCGAAACAATCCAAGACAACGATAACCCCAAGGGTTCAAGGTCCTATAGCTTCCCATTCTTCTTCATTCTCCCCGCCACAACCACACGCCCCGACGATGGGATACCACGGCTGTGTCAGTCACTACCGCCGACTTTCGAGGCTAATATTCAATCCTCGGCCTCTGATCTATCAGTACAGTACGTGATCCGAGCTATTATTGACTGCGTAAGGGTGAGTTCTCGAGGTACATCAGCTGCGGGCGTCATTGAGGGCGCCAGAGAGATCGGATTCCTCCCATATACTATGATTCAGCCGCCAATACAGACTGCTTGGTTCCCGAACGAGTTCATCACAAGAGCTCTCCTACCATTACGAAGACATGTCTTTGGTCGTCGCCTCGGCTGCTTCACTCTAAGTGCCAGTGAACCTTGTCCTCTAATCTACTCATTACCCAGTGACTTACCGTCTACGGAGTGTGCCCTGAAAATAATTGCATCTATCAAAGTTTCTGCGATAAGCCACCTACAGGATATATCGTTGAAAATTAAGTCGGCAATTAGTGTGCGAACTTTCTACTCTCCAACACCAAGCTCTTGTGTACCGGGTCAGCTCTCTCAGTCGCGACGTACTGGGGTCCGATTTGATACGAAAGAAGTGGGCCGAGCTACTCAACACTGCGCGAAAATAGATTGGACTCCTTCCTCGGAAAGTCCTACAGCCAATGAGTTCGGAAGTGAAGGGGATCGAGACAGAGCAACATCAGGTATTTCAAGCTCCACAATAACAGGCCATTAGCATTGATTCTGAGTTCCTTAGACGCCAAAGACAAGACCGAGGTAGGACACTGGGAAACCATGATCCTAGTCCCGTCGAAGCCGCAAGAGGCTTTGTTGCCAACGTTTTGCAGCACTCTACTTGCAAGGTCATATACATTACGCGTCTACGTTCAGCTATTAGGAGTTAAAACTGAGCGTGCTTTGCTGGAGGTACCTCTTCAGGTGGTCTATCCAGTGCCCTCGAAAGCAGACAGCGCTTCAGGCCCTGAGAGACCGGGCCCTTGTAAAGGCCCGATTATTCTTCTTGCGCAAGACAATGTACGTGACTTCTGACCTTGCATTAGCCTCTCTGATCTGTATTATGCAGGTCTTGCCACCGCGATATGATTGATTGTCACAAGCTGTATTATTTGATTGAGAAAATATTAGTCAGGAGACTGGTACTCGAAGGATGGCCGCCGGCTCAGATAGCCGCGCTGTCAGCCTGAAGATTATATATGATTTAAGTCGGAATTTCTGAGCCTGCTGGACTAATCTTACTTTTCAATACAATTTCTATAATTGTTGTCGTAACGGACTTCGCTGGACTGCTAGGAGACCTCCGGCATACCGCATGCCGCTTCAATAGGCTGCGCAGCAGATTGGACAACTGCAAGTTCCAAGCCTTATATCTGAGGCAGGCTAAGCGTACGTCGATAACGAACCTCCGCGCTTTTCGGAGGTCATACGAACTTACTAGCGGATTCGAAAAGTAATATTAACCAGCTATTCTTCAACTAAACTACCGAAGCAGCCCTTCTTGTACACACAACCACTGCAATAACAATTGACGAAACACATATGTTTATGTGGCCTATTCTTTCAGGGAGGGACGAAGTTCCTTGATAAGTTCCTCCACCAGACGACGCACTTCATTCCTAACCAGTCGTACAGCCTCAAGCCCTTGACCGGCGGGATCGTCCAGCTTCCAATCAAGATATCGCTTGCCCGGGTAGAAGGGACAAGCGTCACCGCAGCCCATGGTAATAACAACATCACTGCGCTGGACGGCGTCGGCGGTAAGGACTTTTGGTATCTGGTCGGCAAGGTTGATGCCTTCTTCAAGCATTGCTTCCACGACTCTAGGGTTGATAGAGCTGGCCGGAGCGGAACCGGCTGAACGGACCTCGATTGTGTCGCCCGCGAGATGAGTGAGGTAGCCTGCAGCCATTTGAGAGCGGCCAGCGTTGTGAACGCAGACAAATAAGACACTAGGATTGTCGCTCATTGTTGTTGTTGATCTGGATAATTGAAATTATTGCACAGCAAATGGTGGAATTATTTGTTTGATGTTGAATGTTGATTGTTCTGTCCTGATTAATGCTGAGAAAAACGTTAGGCAGCGCATGGATATAATGACTCACATGGAGTATTGAGGGGGGCTGGATGTCTCGGAAACGCAGATTTAGAGCTCTGTATAAGGCCAACACCACAAGCAGCTTACAGGTGAGCGAACTATTTATCACGCCTTTTTCCCACGCTTCAATGGCCTGCCAGATTTAATATGTCACTTCGCCACCTTGATTGGACCAAACCCCCAACGGGCCTTTCAACTGGTGGGATTTTCATACTAGCAGTATTGGTCAATCCAGTAGTTCTGCAAGAGCACGTGCCAAAAGACTCGTCGGCAAAAACGCTGAATGTCACAGAGCTACTACTATTGGCTGACAAAGTGCGGTGCGAAGTCTCATTGCCAACGCAGTGGGGGCATTTGAAGGTCAACCAATTAGCAGCGAGGAGTGACCTCCTGCGGGAGATGATCACTCTGCCAACAGAAGGACCCAGAAAAGAGCTGGAAACTCTTGTCTGTCGCCGCAATTGCCTATATAACAACAGCCTTTGTCTCAAGGTTTAGTCTCCTAAGCAACATTTTCTCCGGTCTCTTTTTCTGAGTCCAGGAATAAACTCTTCGCCCTGGCAGCTCTCTTAACCCTTGTTTGATCTTCAGATACTTTACTTCCGTCGGAGCACGAAATGGAAACCGCACCGGAAGGAGGCAACCAGTCCACGAGCCATCAACATGTCCACCCTAGTGACCTTGAGAAGCAAGCTCGTCAGGAGCCTCAACAAAGCTCCTGCACCAAGCAATCAGCGTTTAAGGGCCTAGGGATTTTAGACCGCTTCCTAGCACTATGGATCTTTCTAGCAATGGCCATTGGAATCATCCTAGGAAATTTTGTCCCAAATACTGGTCCCGCCTTGCAACGAGGGACTTTCGTTGGCGTCTCAGTGCCTATTGGTATGTGGCTCTTTTTGATACTTCTCTGGAATACCTCTGTTTAACGTGAATAATAGCTGTTGGCCTCCTGGTGATGATGTACCCTATCCTCTGTAAAGTGAGATACGAGTCCCTTCATCGTGTGTTCTCCACTCGGGAGATCTGGATCCAAATTGCCTTCAGTATTATTGTCAATTGGATTATTGCCCCTTTCATGATGGTAGGCAATGCACCTTCCTCTAACATTTACTCATGGCGTTGCTGATATTTTCTTGCAGTTGGCTTTAGCTTGGGCCTTCCTCCCAGACGAACCTGAGCTCCGCCAGGGCCTCATTCTAGTAGGCCTAGCACGATGTATCGCAATGGTAGGTTGCATCTCAATGAGCCAATCTGCCACACTGTTAACTGACATGCATAGGTCTTGATCTGGACAGGACTGGCTGGTGGCGACAACGAATATTGCGCAATCCTTGTTGCCGTCAATTCGCTCCTACAGATGGTACTCTTTGCGCCCATGGCCATTTTCTTTATCGAGGTTATCAGCGGCGGAGACAATATTGCTCTCTCTTACAGCACCGCAGCTAAAAGTGTTGCGGTCTTCCTTGGAATCCCACTTGGAGCGGCTATTGTGACTCGCTTCGGCATTCGCACTCTGACAAGCCCTGACTGGTATGACAGGGTGTTTCTCAAGTGGATTAGCCCCTGGTCACTAATTGGGCTTCTGTTTACGATCCTTATCTTGTTCGCATCACAAGGCCGTCAGGTGGTCCACCAGATTGTTTCCGTAGTCAGAGTCGCCGCGCCCCTTATAGTCTATTTTGTCCTGATCTTCTTCGTGACCCTCTTTATCACTTGGAAGCTTGGATTTGGGTACAAGCTGGCTGCTACACAGAGTTTCACCGCGGCGAGCAATAACTTTGAGCTCGCTATAGCTGTCGCTGTTGCAACCTTCGGGGCGGATAGCAACCAGGCTTTGGCGTCAACTGTTGGCCCGTTAATCGAGGTTCCTGTTTTGTTGGGCCTTGTTTATGTTGCCAGGCCAATTGCCAAGCGGGTTGGTTGGAAGGACTGATCTTGAAGGTTTGGGGGTTTAGACATGCACTGTTAGCAACATAAAAAGACAAAATATTATTTGCTGTTATGACTCTCCACCAGTTACTCCAGGGTTAGATGGAAAGGCGCGCAGAATGCAATTATTCCTAATAACAGAAACTGCAGTAGACTATTAGCTATAGTTGTTGATTGCTCGGCCTCTATGTGTACACATCGCTCAAGGTGAGTGACAAGAAAGAAATATGTAAGTTATGTCATCCAAGATAACTGTAATCCTGACCTGCGCAATGAGTATACATGCATTCTGTTCTTTAGAGCTAATGCTGTCTCGCTATTGCTTGCTTTATCTTCTCTTCTTTGACCCTCTTCTCTTCTCTCTCGCTAAACCGATCACCGAAAAGCTCCAGGTGAGGCCGCAGGAGAATAGTGTATTTTACAAACTCCTCCATGCAATCCACTAGCCGGTCCCTATTACTACTAGGCATGAGCCTCTCGTTTCCTGGTTGACCCTCGTCAGGAAAGTACGTGTATGCTCTAGGGATAGAGGACTGATTTGGGATGGTAAACATCCGCATCCACCGGCCGAGGATACGTAGAGAGTTGACCGCGTTGAATGATTGCGATCCACCGCACACCTGCGCGATGGCAAGGGTCCGGCCTTGTGTGGGACGCACGCTACCTGTGGTGAGCGGGATCCAGTCAATCTGATTTTTGAAGACGGCGGTCTGCAGTTGTTAGCGGTGACATAGCAATTCTGGTGAGATTGTAGCAAGACGAACCAGATTTCCGTGCTGTTCGGGCGATACCCAAACATGTCCATCACTCCACTTGCTCAACTCCCTGAGCTCCTGCACCTTTGGATGCCCGTGATCGGTATCATTCTTCACTGGTAACCCGTCCGGATTAAACACGCGCACATCGCATCCCAACCGGAAGAGAATCCTGCTGGCTTCAAGCGCCACCAGTCGAGAGTAAGACCTTCGCCGAAGACTGCCGTACAATACCAGTACTTTTAGTCTATTATTTGTCTTTCGTAATTCCTGCGCTGCCATGTCCATCACGGTTGCTAACTCCAGGGTATTCACCCAGTCCTCGGCGTCGTCAGGCTTCAGGATGAAGGGGCGATATTTCAGCCGAATTTCAGGATTGTCTTCGCGCTCTGATATAGACAGAGACACGTGATGGGAGTGTTCGGTGTTATGGAGTCCATTGGGAATGTCAGGGACAGCTGGCTTGGGCTGGGCAACAGTGGCAGAGGCGCAGGCAGGCGCCATGGTTGTGTAGGTAATGGCAGGGAAACGAATCACTGAGCGAATGGCCGGGATAGCCTTGGATATCAATAATGGTGTGAGAAGATTTTTCATCGAGAAGATGTTCTTTGTGTGTGTTATGGTACATGTCTATTCGATAGTGAATTGGTGTCGGCCGTTTTAACTAAATGCCAGACGGTAACTCAACGGCGAGTCTGTCACCAGGAGGTGCTGATTGGATTATTTCGTGGTCGGCTAATTTACGTTCCGAACCAAAGTTGTTTAGGTAAGCGCTTCGCGGCAGGCGAGTGCCCCTGGCGAGTCGTATCGGTCGCCACCACATCTCCGTGTGCAAGCAACTGCTGGAGGCCCCATCGTAAATTTCTTCCTGGAATGTAAAATTCTGGCACCGCCAGACACCCAGCACAGTGACATGGCATCAATGGACACCAGCAGGTCTACGAGGCAATCAATAAAAGCTAAGGTTGGTAACGTATGACAATCAGAACATGCTCTTATGAGGGATCTCACATCATATCAGGCTGGCCAACCATCTTCGTCACTACGCATCCGTGACAACCAGCGGCGTTCGCGCGCACGACGCAAAGAATATATTCGAGACCTCGAACAAAGATTACGCACGTTCGAGGCTTCAGGTGTTCGGGCGACACAAGAAGTTCAGGCTGCGGGACGAATGGTGGCAGTGGAGAATACTCTCCTCCGGTCGCTGCTCCGCTTGCATGGAGTTCCCGATCAGGATATCCAGCAGTATTTGACAGCACACAGAAAGGACTTGCCTCCTATACTTCAGTCAAGAGCCGGACTAAAGTCGCGGCCACATGTGGTGGAATTCTCAAGTCCAAGTGCAACCGCCGAGAGTTCTACGCAATCCATTTCATCGAACCACGAGCGCGGAGATCGGACGCTAGGGATGGTGGCTTCTGGAAAGACTTCATCCCAGTTTGATTCGCAGGTAGCCGTCAAGGAGCAGCTGGTTCCAATTCACTCTCTCATTCATACTATTCCCGAATTACCGCCACTCTGTGCAAACCAGAGCTCAGGGCAATCTACTCCATGCGAAACGGCAGCCAGGATTATCGAGTCTATGCGCAGCTACTCCGATACGCGGGATGTGCGCTGGGAGCTAGGATGTCAGTCGAGTTCTGATTGTATGGTGAGGAACATGGATATTTTTCAGCTACTAGAATGATGATGAATACAGCAATCATAAAGCGGCGATTGTCTCAGCTCAACTTTGCTGTCGGTTTGGAAAACTCTAGAAACTAGACTACCTCGGCACCTCACGATACGGGCGAAGTTCACAGATACAGCATTCCCCCTTATATATTTCTGCCTTAGAGTAGTCCCGGACAAAGGGCTTAGCCCTTGACAGCATAGGTCTGGAAAGAACCCGGGCAATTGGTCAATCGTAGTCAAACCAAGATAAGGAGCAGCTACGTACTAGCCCACGCGCCAATATCCAAGTCAGTGATCTCATTCGTAGTCTCTAGAACCCCACAGATAAGATACAGAGAGAAACAGTTATAGCTTTAGTTCAATACCCGACAGCATAGTCCTCCCACCTCACAGGCCAGACACACCGTGTAAGCCAAAACTCAGTCTGCGTTCCTGGCCACACAAGCGTATTCCTCCCTGTTCGCGCATCAACGTACCAATTGCGCACATCAGCTGAGTAAATCAACCCATCCAGTCTGTGCTGGATGTTGGTATTATACGCCTCATGCGCCGCGGCGCGTACATCGATCCATCTGCGTCCACCGCGTTTATCGTGCGAAAATAGCGGTTGAAGCACGCGCATAATATACTCGACTGAACATTCGATCCCGAATAGTGTGGAGTGGCCCGAGGGGAGTGTATTTGGCCCCGTTATCATAAAGAAATTTGGAAAGGAGGGAACTGTTACCCTGCAAGCTGTTAGCGAAAGCCACATCAGACCCAGGTTAGGAAGGGACGACTCCTGGGCCCATATGATATCCTATAAGCCAGTAAGATGTCAGGAATTATTCCGTCTACATACCCCATATACGCAGACGGATACCTGCCATCCTTGTGCCAGGCATCCGATATAAGGGACCCATCTCGCCCTTGTATCTTCATTGGCGTGATTAGGCTCTGCGTTCTAAAGCCGTTTGCGAGAATCAGGATCTCTGCAGGTATTTCCTGTCCATCATCCGTTGCTAATGAGTATGGGCCCGACACCCGAATGCTTTCTGACAGCCTTAAATCCACTCGGGAATCGTGTAGGATCCCCAGGTACCCATGGTCTAACACAGGACGTTTGGCGCCAAAGGTAAAAGCAGGGATCAGGAGTGAGTGGTACTTAGCAGGTGCGGCTCGCTGCATGTACCGTTTAAAGCTCGCTTCCAGATGGGTGCGCAGGAACCGGCCAAGTATGGTCTTGCGAAAAGCCGCAAAGGCAAGGTCAAATTTTGCCGCAAGCAGCCAGCGACGGGTTTTTAGAAGCCAGGGGATGTGGCTTAAAAGCCTGTAACAAAAAATCGTTATGGTAAGGAACGCAGCAGGAATGGAGGTGAGAGGGAGTGGCTATGCGCAAACGTACCATTTCTCTTTTGGTCCAATAATGCGATCTGTCTTCGGAGCAATCCAGTGTGCGCTGCGGACTACCTGTGTCAACTTCGACAACCCCGTGTGCTTGAGTAGCCACGGAATAAACTGGTTTGCAGAGCATCCGTTGCCGATCACGACAACATTTCGTCCCTCAAAATCGACATTGTGGTCCCAGGATGCGCTGTGGAAGACGCTTCCCTGGAATTCTGCAGACCCGATAATACCATCGGGCCCGCGTGGGATATCAAGAAAGCCAATTGACGTGATGAGAACCCGACATTCTGTCGTGTAGAGAGTTCCCGACGCACAGTCTTTGAAATGAACCTCCCATATATAATCGTCCTCCCGCCAGCAGGCGGAAAGGCATTCCTGCTGCAGGTGTATGCGCTCTGGAATACGGTGCCTGGTGGCTACACGCTCAATATAGGCGAGGATCTCGGGCTGCGAGGCATATGTGGACGACCAGTCAGGATTAGGCGCGAAGGAGTATGAGTAGAGCTGCAAAGCCGGCGTTGTAGTTAGTATACCAACGTCGGAAACCTCCATCTCCAGAGAATTAAGTAGCACACAATGACAGGGATACCAGTTCGGATCAACCGGTGAGTTTGACAGACATACCTTTGAAGGTATATCGCACCGTAATCCTGGGTATGTATTCTTCGCCCAGGTGCCCCCTATCCGGTGATGTTTCTCGAACACGCCGAACGTTGCGTGCGGATACTGTTTCTGCAGGTTGACCGCAGCACATATCCCTGAGCAATGATCTTATTATCATACTATCCAGCTTGCCGAATATTGATAAGGAATTGCAGTTACCTCCGAGTCCTGCGCCGACGATGACCACGTCCAAATATCTCCCGTCTAACAGCGTTGGCATTTTGAAGCAGATAAAAAAAATTACACAGCAGCAGGGGAAAGAAATATGAGCAGGCTGCTTCAGGATTTATCTGGAACTTCTTAGCGGAGCCTGGCTGCTTAAATAACGCGTGAGTGACATGGCCAAGACTTCCCCACGTGTAAATAGTGACATCCCGCTCTATCTACCTTTGTCAAATGGTGACATACCAGATACAGCATTGCTTCCAGGCTGTCAACCATGTTCAACTCGACGTGATACGAGAGAAGTAAGATAAAACACAAAGAAAAGAAAGGAAAAGGAAACAAGAAAAATATCATTAATCAACCACGTTGATCCCAGCACCGACCTATTCCAGGTTCACTAACCAGCTCAACAAGCGCCGCCAAAAGAGTCCCATTATCTACCCGACAACCTTCGCCGGGAACAGCGGGCATTCTGTACCCATACCGCAGCTTCGTCTCGAGCTCGAGCACATCCTTGCCCATGCGGTTGCACTGGATAATAAGGTGGAATGCAACACTGCATAATGTAGTCTCGCCATTGACAGAGTTTGCTGGCCGCGAGATTTCTCCATCTACCACGTGCGGTATACCGGCTGGGTCTTCGGTCATTAATAATTCAGTGTCCCATATTGGAGGCTGACTATTAAGTATGTCCAGTGAGATCTCATTCGCCCCTAATGTCGGGGCAGAGTACGAGAGATCCGAGGCATCGGGGCTAACGAGGCCTATATTCTGGGTACTAGAAATTGGTTCTCCTGTAGCGAGAGCATCGAGTTGATCAGTCTAACGAACATAGGTTAGCCACTATCTTAAGAAGGGTACCTCGAGCGCGTACAGGCATCAACCCAAGCTCCAACCCCCCAAACCCCACATCAGTTACAGGACCCGCGGGTGCGATGAAATCGGATTTGAACGGCACCTGCAGTCCATCGAAAGGAGCGCCCCGTAGATACCCCTCGAGCGATAAGCTGTCAAACCCAATCGACTCTAGCAGGGATTTAAGTATGCAATTCTCCTTGGCTAGGCTCATGCTCGGCATAGGTACTTTAGTCGCTGCTACTGCTGACTCCAACTGCTTTACCTTCTGCTCCAACTCCGCAACATGTTGCTTCCTCCGCTCTCGCGATTTGCGTTGATTATTTCGGACCCGAATGAGGTCTTCGGCCTTGATACATGTTATTGGAGAAGCTCAGACAATCAAAACCTAGTCCAGAACATGCCTTGGTTTTTCGTTTCGGGCGGGGCATGCCTCCGGTGTATGGTTTGGGATGGAATTTCCGCCGCGGACACGCAGATTTGGAGTATCAAAGGAACTTGATTCGCATTAGATTATTCTAAATGTTCGACTGGATGTGATTGTGGGAATGCGAGAGGGCAATAGATGCATGATGGAGCAAAGGGGATGGTGGAGATAACCTCACTCGTAATTCGCAGCATGCAGTGGCACGCGGACCTTCGAACATTAGTCAGCAATTCCGTGGGTGACGGGGCCAAGGCAAAACAACCACCTACTGTCGATACCTAATTTTTGAAATTTCTCCACAACCACTGACTTATTTGGTTCAGACTGTGACCCAGGTTACTCGTCAGCTCTCAAGGTATCGCCCAGTACCAAGAAAGCATGTCGGGAAGCCACATTGCGCCACAGCTGGGCCTCCAGCCACCCACCATACGCGACCACGCGATCCAAATTGAAGCAGACATACGCGCCTTGATGGAATACCGAGTCAACCCGCTAGGCAAGAATCGAGCACCAAACTGGAATATGATCGAACCGCTCCTCAGGAGCTTCAACACCTACCTTGAGAAAACCCAGGACCTCCCTACCACCAGCCAGCTGGCCACGGAAGTGCACGCGACGGCTCGCGCCCAGGAAATCCTCAGCAAAGAGATCACGGAAATCAAGAACATCCTCGCAGCCCCAGTTGGTAAAGCACCAGCCCCCACCTATGCGCAAATTGTGAAAGACCCATACGTACTGAAACCTACCACACAGACCCGACCCTCGAGTGGACCCCGAGAGATCCTCGTGAAGCTGAACGAAACGAATCCGGAGCAAACAAGCCGTCGAGCAACCGCCGAAGACGTAAAAGAAAAGGTCAACAACATGCTAAAAAGTCACCAGGATCCAGCCCTACAGAAAACCCAGATTATCGCAGTGAAACGACATCCCAGCGGTGACCTGACCCTCTTCACCCAAGACCAACGGAGCACGGAACAACTCATTGCACACCGAGAGCAATGGCAGCAGACGCTAGGAGAAAAGGCAGTGGTGAGGGTGCCGTCCTTCGGCATCCTGGTCCACGGGGTCAGCACACAGATGGAGGCACACAACAGGATGGAAATTGAGGAAAAGATCCAGTGGAACAACCCTTCCCTGGAGAAAGCGAGGGTGGTCTACTCGGGCTGGCTGAAGCGCAGCCTGGGAGAGAAGCGAGCGTCCACCATGGTACTGGAGTTTGAACGGGAAGAAGACGCGGACCATGCAATTCTGAACGGGATCGTATTCGGTGCGCAAATCTATGCCTGCGAGTTTTACGACCGGACCTGCAAGGTCAAACAATGCTTCAAGTGCCAAAAGTATGGACATATAGGGACTCACTGCAAAGCTCAAGAAAACTGCGGATACTGTGCGGAGCCGCACAGCACCAAAGGGTGCCCGGAAAGGGACAGGCCCGGCTCAGAGCCGAAATGCCCCAACTGCTTCAACAATCACCCTTCATGGAGCATCCAATGCCAATACAGGAAGGAAGAATTCGCAAGAGTTGAAGAACGGAGGAGGAACATGCCACGAACCCACAAGGAAGCCACGCTCCGATGGGGCAACTTCACCGGGAAACCAACCCACGCCAACGAGACAACGCACACCAGGAAGGAGAACGGAAACCGCAGAGCACCTGGAGAGCCACCGATACTCAGCGCAACGGGAAGTCAGAGAAGGGGAAGATCCCCAAGAAAGGACCTACGGACCAATACGAGCCAAGGACACAGCAACACCACAAGAAGAGTTCTACAGGAGCTGGACCGGAATACACTCCTAGTGGCAGGGAACCAAGATACAGCCCGTAACAAAAGACGAGCATTAGAGGCAGAAGAACCCATAGCAACCCAGGACTCGATCATGTCAATCATTTCATTCGATGAATAGAACCACCCTAGCGATCCTACAGTACAATGTCAACAAATCTCGCGATCAAGTCATGGCCCCTCTCCTCGCTGATGAGGAGGTCTGGCAATACGATGTTATCGCCTTACAAGAGCCTTGGGCAAACCCGTTTCAGCGCACCACATATCACCCAGTCAAGGACCGATTTGACCTGGTATACAACATAGAATTGAAAACACGGGTATGCTTCTTCATTAGCTCGCGGCTCAGAGGAGCATGGTCATATACGCACCACACGCCCGACCTGAGCACGCTACATCTCCAGATTCAAGAAGATGAGGTCAACCGGACAATACACGTCCACAACTTATACAATCCTATTGATCATACGGGCGAGGAACGAGACAGCACACTGCCAGACCTACGGAAAGCACTGGAGACGGACAAGGACGGAGAACACCTGGTTTTGGGAGACTTCAACCTACACCACCCGATGTGGGGAGGACTACAGGCCCGGAGGACATCCGACGAAGCCGAGGATTTACTAGACCTAATCACGGACCACCACCTGGAACTACTGTTGCCGGTAGGCACCAAGACCCGACAAGAACGGGGCGAACCGAGTACGATCGACCTGGTCTTCGGAACTCGTCTACTCTCAGACTGCGTCGTCAGCTGCGGTCTGTCGGGGAAAGAGCTGGACCATGACTCCGATCATCTCCCTATCACAACACTCCTAAATGTCACCCTCACTAAACACCCGGAGCCCAAGAGACGGTTGTGGCACCAATTGGAGGAGAAGGCCTTCCTCGAGGAAGTAGAGAAGAACCTCCAAGTCCACAAGGAAACAGACAGCCAGGCAGATATTGATGAGCAAGTTAACCACATAATTAGAACCATCAATACCGCGATCGACCGCCACTGCCCCGAATCGAGAGTATGCCCAAGATCCATTCCCGGATGGACTCCGGAAATAAAGGAAGCCCAGATGCGAGCGCGTCGGCTGAGGCGAAAGTACCAGAAAATCCGAACGCAAAAGGCCTGGGAAGAATACACCGCTGCACGGAACCTCAAAGGACGCCTGATAAAAAAGCTGCTGAGGAGAAATCATCGAGAAAGAATTCAGGAAGCCACCGGCTCAATACAGGGCCTCTGGAAACTAGCCAAATGGGCCAAGAGCAGAGAGCAACGACAGTCCTTCACTCCCCCCCTGAGGGATGGACAGGGACCAATAAAAACCGAAACCCAAGACAAGATCCAGCTCCTGAGGGAAATCTTCTTCCCCCGCACGAAAGATGCAGACCTCTCAGACCTAGAGGACTACGCCTACCCCGACCCTGTTGAGTGGCCACCGTTCACGGAAAGGGAGGTGAAAACAGCACTCTCAATGGTAGCAACGCGCAAAGCCCCAGGCCCAGACGGGATACCGAACTTCATACTGAAAGCCCTTCGGAATATCCTCACACCTATCCTCACTCCGCTCTTCAACGCGTGTATCACAAAAAGCTACTGCCCAGAACATTTCAGGATCGCCGAAACGGTAGCTCTGCGCAAACCAGGAAAAGACGACTACACCCAGGTCAAGTCTTACCGGCCGGTGGCGCTCCTGAACACGCTGGGAAAGGTTTTAGAGAAGATGATCGCGAGAAGGTTCTCGGAAATAGTGGAAAGACACTCTTTACTACCCACAACCCACATGGGGGGAAGAAAAGGCGTTTCGACCGACCACGCCTTACACTGGCTACGGGAGAAAATAAACCTAGAGCACAACGGAAAGGCGGTTAGAAAAGTGGTCTCGATCCTCTCCCTAGACGTATCTGGGGCCTTCGACAATGTCTCCCACCTTAGATTGATCCATAATCTGAGGAAACGAAAGATAGACTGGCGGGTCGCCGGATGGGTTGCGAGTTTCCTCCAAAACCGCAGAACCACGATACGACTCCCTGAAGGAAAGTCGGAGCTTATGAGCGTGGAAACCGGTATCCCCCAAGGATCACCGCTGTCACTGATGCTATACCTCTTCTTCAACGCCGACCTTATCGAAGACTGCCAAGACCCAAATCTTAACGCAGAAGCGGTGGGCTGGGTAGATGATGGGAACATCAT